CGACATAGCCATTACGCTAACTGCTGGTCCCGATACCACTCCTTTTTGAAAGGCAGCGCAAGAGGGCAAAAGAAGCGCAGTGACCCGGACAAATACCACGTTTATTTCACAAACACTGGGAAGACGGGGCAGGAGTGGGTGTGGAGATGGGGGGCACAGCGGCATCAGCTGCCCACTCCCCACACAGGATTCAGCCTGGGCTGCAGGGCTTCCACATCCACAGGCGGCAAGAGGTGAGTGCAGGGAGGGCCCTGAACACCGAGCCCCCTGACAGGCTAGGGGGTGCAGCTCCAGCTGTCCCAGGAAAACCACCAGCAATAAATAAGAGTAGGGCACGGCCCCGCCCAGGCAGATCATCTAGTCACCCATCTTCACTCTGGAGGTCTGTAAAAGAAGAACAGGAGACATCAGGCAGGGACAGAGACACAGATAAGACTGACAAACGACAGGTAAGACCTCCAACCGTGGTTGGACAGACCACAGCAGATGGGTGATGACACCAGGATGGACGTACTGACAAACAGGTGAACGGGGACAGTCAGATGCCTCAGAGTAAGACTGTGGGACAGACCCTGGAGAGAAGTGGCATGTGAATGGTGCTAGTCACTGAGATTCAAGCCAGGCAAGCACCCAGACCCTCAGGCTGAGGCGTAGTTCTAAACCCACACACTGTCAGACGAGACACACAACTCAGACATGCTGTCCTACTGACAGACACACCTCAGACAGAGATCACAGGCCCTGAGACAGTCAACCCCACCAAGACAGCCTGACACAGACAGGATCCAGTCTAGACCCCAAGTTGCTAAGAGTGAGCAGACAAGGAGGAAATGACAGATAAAATGACAGAACACAAAGACTCAAATTGCGGCCTGCAAAGATACAGCGCCATCTCCACAGGGGAAACCACTAGATGGAGATGCCATGGCGGAAGCTATTCAGGGGCTCTACAGTTAGGGGAACACTTTAGCTCTTCTGGGAGGGGGACAAGGACAGAGGGGCTCCCCCCAGGGATTCCGCACCTGAAGGATTGCCACGATGACCCCAAAGAGGCCAATAGCACTGCCAAAGATCTCCACGATAAGAATCTTGACAAAGAGGCTGGGGTTCTGAGCGTCGGCCAGGGCAGCCCCACTACCCACGATGCCCACGCAGACTCCGCAGAAGAGGTTCGACAGGCCCACTGTGAGTCCAGCCCCAAACATGGAGTAGCCTGGAAGGATAGAGGGGGTACACTGAGGTGAAGAGTTCAAGCTAGGAGGTTGCAAGGGAAGCAGCTTTTCAAAGCTTTCGTACTCCTACCCGCCTACCTGCATGGTAGTTCCGATGGCCGATGGCCTTGGGGTCAGTGGCACTGAAGGGCTGAAGGAGGCAGGAAAGTTAACGGAAACCACGTCTTAGGTGTCCCCCCTCCTAATCTCTAAGAAACGCGCAGAACACTCTGGAACAGACGCCCACCCCACCCTGGTCCTCCATACCTCGGCCATGTTGCTAATGACAATCGCCATGATGATGCCATAGATGGCCACAGCCTCACAGAAGATGATGCTGGTAGTACCAACGATAGAGGTGGAGGTAGGGAGTAGGGAAAAGAAAGAAACCAACGTTCTTCTCCACGAAATCACCCCTGCAACCTTCCCCCACTGACATCTCACCCACAGGCCAAACACACAGGCAGCCCCAACACGGCCAGTGCTGACAACCTTCTGAGGGCCCTTACACTTACCTGACCAGGTTCTTGGTCTTGATCCTGGGGGCCTTCACCCCACCACCAATGATGGAAGAGCCAGTAATATAAATGCCCCTGGTGGAAGGATAAGAAACATGAGCAGGGGCCAGCAGGTGGCGTGGTGGCTGAGGTACTGGACTCCCGCATGGCCAACGGGTCGGAGTCCCAGACCTGGCGGCTTGCACCCTCACTTTCTCTCTCCCTCTGGTGGTATAAAATTAAACAATAATTAAATTCGGTAATTCTTAAAAGAAATAAAAAAGAAACAGATGTGCAGAGCCCAAGCTGTCACTGCCCCCAGGATGACAAAGAACCCAGTGACACCACCTGCCATGACTCAGCCCCTCGGGGGGCCACCACATAACACTCACCAGGCTGCCCCAACCACAGACAGAGAGATGGCCAGGCCAATGCCCAGATTCGACCACATGAAGGGGGAAGTCTCAGTCAGGAACCTAGTGTGGAATCAAGGAAGAAAACCACTCAGCCTTGGTGGAGAACGGGACACAAAGTCCTTGGCCTCCCACCCGCCCTGTCCTGGGTGCTGCAACCAGACTTCCTAACTCCCAAAGGTCCATGTCCCAGGGTGGGGAAGGGCTCGCCCAGAGATGGAGGAAGGCCACAGAGCAGCAGCTCCTTGCCCTCTTACCATGCCACATCGAAGCGGAAGCCCAAGTCAAAAATGGTGTAGCAGACTCCTGCAGCAGTGAGAAAGAGAGGGTTAGGGGCTGCTCTCTGGACAGAAGGTCCCCAACCTAGGGAAGGAGACGCCTAACCGAATGGCCATCTCCTTAAAGATCTGCCCACAGCCAAGGGGAGGGCGAGGTCTCAGACTGGCCAGCGCCGGAAAGTGTGGCTCTCTACAGATTCCTCCACTTGCTGCCACTTCTTCGGTGACACCACCTCCCAGGTAAACCCCTCCGCAGGCGGCAGGCCTAGAACTCGCGGGGGCAGGGGGGCAGGGAGGGAGCCAGCGCTCTAACCAGATCCCGCCAGATCCCGTCAGCCCGGACTGGACCACTGTTTACTCAACAAGCTGTGGGTGGGGGGAGGGCCAAACGACCCGGAAAAGAGGAACCGGAGCAGCCGGCTCGTAACCCAAGCAGGCGAGTCAGGGGCAAGGCAGGGCCCACGGCAGTGAGGCGGGAGATGGCGGCGATGACGGAAAGGGGCTCCGCTGCTTTCTCGGCCCCCACCTCCCCCCACCCGCGTCTCTCCACAAGCAGCGGGAAATCGGGCGCAGGGACACGTAGCCCGCACTGGGGCCCAGCCCTCCCGGCACCCCATTTCCCCCGCGAGGCTCCCGATGCTGCCCCCGCCCGCCAGCGCCCATCCTCACCCACGACGAGCGCGCAGGCCCAGAAGGCCACAAAGACCCCGGAGTAGAGCAGCGCGAGCCCCGTCATGGCGGCAACGGCGGCGGGGGTCGGAACCGCGGGGCCAGACCTAAACCGGAGTCCCTGCGTCCACCGTCCGCCCCGCAGTCTGTCGGCCCGCCCCGCTGCGTCACCTGACTGCCCACGTGACGCGCGGGCGCCACGTGACCCCGTTCCGGGCCCTGCGCCGCGGCAGGTTCCGAACTGGGCGGCGCCGGGAATTGTGGGGGTTGTAGTCGTGCCTTGGAGGCGGCCCCGGCTCCCGCTGCGGGCGCCTACACCACTGCG